AAAATGAATTATTTTAATTACTGATAAGTAGGCTTGTTTATATTAAGCAATATGCGCTGGAGAGTCTCATCAGTGCTGACTGATGGCCTGGTCACTGATGAAATCTCAGCACGGATACAGAAGGCTCGATTGGCTTTTGCCAACCTGCGTCACTTATGGCGTAGGCGAGATATATCAGTTTGATGACTAAACGACGAGTGTACTGTGCAGTAGTTCACTCCGTCTTACTTTATGTCTGTAAAACATGGTAAGTCAGAGTAGAAGATATTCGTTGGTTACTGGTTTTCGATCATAGGTGTCTTCGAAGCATTGCTCGTATATCCTGGGACACTCGAGTAAGCAACGCTGTTATTACGAATCAGGTGCTAGGTAAGAATGGCAGATCAATAGATGAAGTGGAGAAACTTCATCAGTTGAGGTGGTTGGGACATGTGTTGCGTATGCCCAACCACCGACTGCCTCGTCGAGCTATGTATTGTAGTGTAGGAGTAGGTTGGAAGAAAGTTAGGGGCGGCAAAACCAAAACATGGCAGAAATCCATGAAATCATTGTCGAGTGGACTGAGTCATGTTGGTAGTTGTCGACTACCTGGTTGGGGTCCGCGAGATGATAATAATCGATGGTTAGATACCCTGAATGACATGGCTCAAAACCGTTTAAAATGGCGCCGGTGCATTTATTCTTTGTGTTCTCTCAAATCCTAATCTTCTGGGTTCTTCAACACCTCTAGTTTTGACTTTTTAAACTTTTCTCACTGAATCATACTTCTTGAATAATATCTTCCAATCCTAATCTCTCCAGTTACTGCTAATACCTTAACTATCTCTACTACTATTGGATTTGAATTGACAATTATATCTCTGTGCTGATGTGGTATTGCAACATGAACTGATGTACTTACGTACGAAGTTCTACATCGCATCTGGCTGACTGACTGACTGAAATGCGCTGAATACGGAATCAAGTTATTCACTGAAGAAAAAAACAACTGTTTTTTTACTCATACTTATTGAAAAGTTTGCAAAGAGAAAGTAAACATCTGAGTTTTTTTTACCAAGATATTATGTGAAAATGTGCCAGTGAATGCTTGATATCGATGCATGAAATCAATGCAACCATATCTTAAGGCACCAACCTTATTCAGAAGTCTTTCATCAATGGTCAGTGATTTTATAGCGTTGGTCTGTGAGGTTCCAAGAAATTAAACAGATAAATAGAGATGGTTGGAATTCATGTACTTCACTTTAGTTATTATTAAAATTGCTACTGGTTATCTTAATTAATTAAAAATTACATCAGACCAATTACCTATCGACCGACCACGAAATAATATGAACTGTATATTTTTTATTCCAATTGAGTAGTTGTTCATTCTAAAGCTTTATTTAAGCTCAGTATCGGTATTTACAAAATATTTTTTATTTATCAAATTTATTGTTTTTTTCTAACTAAGATCTATCACCAAAAGGCATAACTTTTATGTTCAAAATTTGGTGTGTAATCACCACTGAAGCCTTAACACCGTAACTTCAAATGATACATTGTAACGCATTCGAAACCTAACTCTACCAACTCCTAGTTTCGTTTATCAGTTTGTCTTAATCTCATGCTGGCTTTATATCTGGTTGCTGTCTATTTATTCGTATATTTATCTAAGTGCATTCTATGTGCCTACTGAGTCGTCGGCTCATCTTTTTTCTCTTGTTCTTTCTTCTTCCAGATAATCTCATACGCTGCTCCTCACACCCCCCCACCAGCACACCAGCTACCTCCGGGTTAAAAGCAAACCAACCAAAGGCTGAAGGCTGCTCAGGTTCACTTTGTCTTATACGAGTCCTTTCAGTTAAAACATTATTTCTTTTCGACATATGATTTGTGAATTTCACATCAGTAAAATACCTAAAAGTAGATTTAATGTTCACTCATATAAAGCAGTTGAACTTTGATAAAACAGGGAAATGTTTACTTATGAATTGATTTCATTACCTGAAATTTATTGACTTGATCATCAAAAATTTAGGCATAACATGTGCGTTGGTGAGCATCTTTTAAAAATGTTTTAAATGAAAACGATATGGTTGTTGATGTTATAACTTATGTCTTCAACGTTTAACTAATTTTTTTCGTAAGTTACACATAAATTTTCGATCCGTATCATTGTTCGATGTGCCTTTTCTCTGTTTCATTCTAATGGGAAAACATTTTTATCATATCAGATCCCTATTGTCACCATATTTTATTTAGAGTCAAACTATACAACTATTATCAATCTTATCCAAAAAAATATTTGATTAGTTTTAACATTCACTCCAAAACTATGAATACTTTGTCAGGAGGATTCTTTAGCTTTATTTTCTCTATGAGAAAAGTGAGAATTCATATTTTTTTTTTTAAAAAAAACCGCCTCTCAGTGAATGAAACAAAAAAAAAACATTTTAATAACATGTTACACTAAGAAATAACCTCAAGCAATTAATTGAACACCTCCCGTACCACCACTTGTTTGATGTTCAAGTCAAAAAAAATTTGTTTATTTTTTATGAAAACTAACAAAAATCCCTTAAAAAGAAAAAAAAGGTAAAAACAAGTACCTATGTGTGAAAAAAAAATCTGTGTAATAACAAATTTTTTTCTTCAAATAAACAAAACAATTAAAAAAAAATAAAGAAAGGCTATTAAAAATACCAATTTTCTCTTTCAAAACAAATTCGACAAAAAAAAGAGGAAAATACTCATCATTAATCATCATGATTCACGTAATATGAAAAATGATTGATCGTGTACTGAACAAATTGCTGCTACATTACGGATCATTGTGGAACAATCAATTGAATGCAACTCACCACTCTACATCAACTTCATTGACTACGAGAAAGCATTCGATAGCGTGGATAGGAAAACACTGTGTAGGCATCTTTGACACTACGGTGTGCCTGAGAAGATAGTAAACATCATACGGAATTCTTATGATGGATTCAACTGCAAACTCGTACACGAAGGACAGCTAACAGACTCTTTTGAGGTGAAGACCGGTGTCCGGCAAGGTTGCTTACTCTCACTCTCTCTCTTTCTCCTGGTCATCGACTGGATTATGAAGACGTCGACGTCTGGAGGGAAGCACGGTATCAAATGGACAGCTAGGATGCTGCTGGACGATCTGGACTTTGCAGATGACCTGGCTCTTCTATCGCACAAGCAACAACAAATGCAAGAGAAGACGACCAGTGTAGCAGCAGCCTCTGCAGCAGTAGGTCTCAACATACATAAAGGAAAGAGCAAAATTCTCCGATGCAACACAACATGCACCAACCAAATCACTCTTGATGGAGATGCCTTGGAGGACGACGTTTACACCTTTACATATCTGGGCAGCATCATCGACAATCAAGGTGGATCCGATGCAGATGTGAGGGCGCGGATTGGCAAAGCAAGGGCTGCATTCCTACAGTTGAAAAATATCTGCATCTCCAAACAACTTTCAAACAAAACCAATATCAAGATTTTCAATACAAATATCAAGACAGTTCTACTGTATGGAGCGAAAATTTGGAGAACTATGAAAGCCATCATGCAGGAGAAACAAGTATTTACGATCAGTTGTCTTCGCAAAAAATTTGCATTCGTTGGCCAGACACAATCAGCGACAACTTACTGTGGGAGAAAACAAATCAGATTCCAATGGAGGAGGAAATCAAGAAGAAGCGGTGGAAGTGGATAGGACACACACTACGAAAAGCACCTAACTGTATCACGAGACAAGCCCTAACATGGAACTCTCAAGGTGAAAGGAAAAGAGGAAGGCCAAGGAACAAATTACGCCGCGAAATACGGGAAGATATGAAAGGAATGAACATACATTGGACAGAACTGGAGAGGTTATCCCAGGATAGAGTTGTTTGGAGAAAACTGATGGTCGGCCTATTGTCCATTTGGGTTAACAGGCGTAAGTAAATAAGTAAGTAATAACAAAGCGTACATTTGATATATTACCGATTTCATTTACGAACTCATTCATCTTACCAAAAATTTCACTCAACAGGATTTTTGGGCGTTCGATTTTGACCATGTAGCCGTCAAGTACATTGACTTATAACACTAGAAATCTTAGAAGCTATACTAGACAGGTGATCTCTTTTCAAACAAAAACGAAACATCCACTATGTTAACATGTTTACATCAGGAATACAAATTAATATAAACGTGAAAGCTACAGATTTATCCAACGTTTGGTCAATGTGAATCGTTGCGACGTCGCGTAATACGTCATCATGCCTACTTCAACTCTTGTAAAAAATCCTTACACCTTTAGATATCTTGGCAGCATCATCGACGTGAAAGGTGGATCGATGAAGATGTGAATGCGCGGATCGGCAAAGCAACGGCTGCATTTCTACAGTTGAAAAATATCTGGAACTCCAAACAACTTTCAACCAAAACCAAAATCACGATTTCCAATAAAAATGTGAAGACAGTTCTACTGTATGTGGTGGAAACTTGGAGAACTCACAAAGCCATCATCTAGAAGATAGAATTGTTTATTAACAGTTATCTACGCAAAATACTTCGTATTCGTTGGCCAGACACGATCAGCAACAACGTACTGTAGGAGAGAACAAACCAGATTCCAATGGAGGAGGAAATCAGGAAGAAGCGTTGGAAGTGGATAGGACATACACTGCGAAAAGCACCTAACTGCGTCACAAGACAAGTCCTCACATGGAACCCTCAAGATGAAAGTAAAAGAGGAGGCCAAGGAACACATTACGCCTAGAAATATAGAAAGACATGAGAAGAATGAACAAAAACTGGAAAGAACTAGAAAGGAAAGACCAGGACAGAGTTGGTTGGAGAATACTGGTCGCTGGCCTATGCTGCATTGTGGGTAACAGGCGTAAGTTTTTAAATAAGTACGTAATATGAAAAAGAAAAGAGTTTTTCAAACAGTTTCAATTAGATGATATAAGTGTCAATAAGAACAAAAAATACTATTTATCACTTACAACCATGTTGAGCAATCAATTGAACAATTGAATAATGAATTCAAATTATTCCTTGGCATTGAATTATTTGAAACAGGAAATAATCCAAAAGTGATTAAAATCAATTTCATTGTGATGAATGAATGATATGCTGAAAAAAAATAAAATGTAAATACACAGAGATAGAGAGATATAGAGGGGGAAAAGAAAGAAACAAAATGAATAACAACAAACTAGTGTTTCTGTGATTTTTATTCAATAATAAAAACTAACTGATTCTTTTCTTTGTAAATTTTTTCTTTGTTCTATGCAACACGAATACTACACTCGTAATTAAGCATGAGTTACGCAGAGTTACAGTTCATTTCAATGCTATTGTGTATTGAAAATGTTGTTAACTTTTTAATAAACATATAATATTGGCTTTTCAGCAATTTAATAGTTTTGTATGTCATCAATTTTTAATTTTAATATGAAACGTGTTTTTTTTAAGGCAGACATGATAGGTGTAACATTGATATTTGATTTGAAATTTTGTCTTGTCCTCTTTAAGGTTATGCTATAATATCATTAAACTAAATTGGTTCAAGTTAACAGTTGCTTTATTGTTTTAAATTAATTTCCTGTCTTGAATATAGTTTTGTTGACAAGATCAAAAGATGAATTTTAAAGAATATCTACTGACAAAGGGTATAGTTCAAATTAACATTACTTAAGCAAACGTGTTCTCGGTGTTTGTTATCGTATTTCATAATTTCATTGTTGGGGACGTTAGATCCCCAGAACTCACTCTTGAAAAAGGCCCTAATTTTGTGTTTTCGCGTATGGGCTGATCAGTACATTTCTCACCCAAGAAAATCCTCGACTGTTATTGGTTGATGGATTATTTTAGTACGCTATGTTCGTACTGTATAAATAAACTTGATTTGTGTGCTTTTGAAAACCTCGTATTGTCTTGGTGATTTTAGAATACACTTTCTACACTATATCAAGACTTTTGATATTGTTAGCAGGGTCGGTGACAGTCAGATCAGAATAGCCTATTGTGTCACTGAATTATTTGCCGAGTAAGGTGAACACGTAAGAGTTTCAAGCAAATCAACTGACGAGCATATCATTCATTTATAATAAACTTAAAATCCCGATGTTTTGTTGATTGATCTTTAAAATACGGGGAAGTTCATGCTTAGAGGAATCTGCCGCAGGGAATCCTAACCATATTTTGAAAAAAATACAGAAATACGAACAAAGGATGTTATTTATCAATAAATCATACATTCAGAAACTGGCCAAAGTTTGAGTACAACGATAACATTTAAAATTAAATCATTTGGATTAAGAATTGCATTAAAATCACATAAAAAATGTTAATCTCCACATGACCAATATGATGTTAACTTGTGAATTGATTAGGTGAGATTATTAATCAGAATAAATATGAGCAATATGAACGGTAAGACAGATAGATAATAATACAATTACAAACTAAAACAAATACATGGTCAACAATCATGTAATATATATACAAGAATATGAATTATAAGTAAGAATTAGTAAATAGAAGTGAGTATCTAATAAATGTTTTAAAACATATGCAAGCGTTTTAATAATAATAACAATAATAATATTAACAGTGATAACAGTAATCAAAAGATGTTCTGCGAGAATGAAATCAAACTACAGTAGTTTAAAAACTGCATAAAATGTTCAATTACAAAGAATAGTTGAGCAAACAATTGTTTTCAAGAACTTCAACATCAGCTTGTACAGTAATGAGTTCATTGTTACCGTGTTATACATAAACATAGATATAACGTAAAATCTCTAATTTGCATTTTAAAAAGAAATATTATTATGTGTTCTACAAATAATCTTTACAATTTTAGATAGATCTACTTTCGGAAGTTAAATTTACTTGATTATAATCTCATAAACGATTTATTATTAAACAATTAAAGCATTTTTTTAATATATATATATATATATATATATATATATATATATATATATATATATATATATATATATATATATATATTCTATTCATTATAATCTGATCAGTAAAAATCATTCACTAATATGAAAATATTTGTTTTGCTCAATAATGTAGTAATGAAAATCTACATAATTAGATTCATACTGTATTATTGCACTGGAACTCTGATAGAAAACTAGTCAATATTGTTGTACCCTCAGCTAATTACAAAATAAATATTCGAGTATTTTACCTATTCCCCATTTTCTTTCCTAAAAATTTACATTATCAAAAAACTTACTAAATATAAAGAAAGATCCTAGAAAATGTTATTGAGGGTTTATAATTTTCCTCTGTGAATATTGTGAATTATAAACCAACACTATCTATCGACGTCTATACATTCAAAATGATTCGCTTTCATACATTCGGATCATAAAGCCAAAGGTTCGTCGTCCATACACTGATATCCATATGATATCCAAATGACTGGTTAATGGTTATGACAAAAGTGTTTGTTCTGTATTTTAACTGCTACCCATAACCTGACTTCAACCAAAAAACCCTATAGAATCATTTCCAGTGGCTTCAATTTTATAACTAATCTCTGTATTTGGTAGTGTGGCGCGCGCTACATATAAGTAGTATACGACGCGAGTGAAAACGTAATGTCTGGCAGCAGAAGATGGGGGAAGATCAAAAAAAGGAAGAGCCGGAACTACTTCACTACAGTAGAACTGCCATATTAAAAATGATAAAAATCTCAGTGTTTTCCATTGTCAAATATTAACAACAATTTATTGATTTATATACGACGTCAAGCATAAGTTTTATAAATGTAACATAGGATAATGACATTGACATTGATATTCATAGCTGGGAATAAGTAAATAGCCTGATATCAATCCACAAGTCAAGTTTCAACTTTCAACTTTATTTCAATATATCTTATGTAGATAAATTTATTTTCACAAATGACTTAAACTACTTGTCAACAAAATATTCTAAATAAGTATAAATTTCCTCAAATGACTTTCCATTTATGTTCTTGGGTAAGAAGAGTTAAGGAAACATTGAACATTGTCAGTCTGAAGCATTTTGTAAAATTTTTTGGCGAAATATGAGCCAAGTTTAAGATTACTCAAAGTTTTCATCAGCAGCAACAACAACAAATAACAAAACAAACAACATATAACATTGCACTAGTAGAAAGGATTCTATGACTAAACAAATAAAAAAAGAAAAGAACAGATCAAAGCTTTCGGTAATATTCTCCACCACCATATTAAAAAAAAGATTGTCACTTGAAACAGTTTTGCTTTGTCTCCACATTTTTCTTTCCAATTTTCTGACCTAAATTCTTTCCCCTTTAATAATATTAGTCAACTATTGAGACTGTTGTTGTTTAGCAAACATTTGGTGGAAGATTTATTAAACACCTTTTGTAAGTTTTATCAATATGATTCATTATCTTAGACGATAAGAAAAGAAAAAAATTTACATATTCTCCGAAATGAAGTAAATTTTCGATAAAACTAAACATGTAGATTTTTTTTAAATGCTGTGGAATAATTATGTTTCAGCCATAACTAACTACTGAGTAATCTTTAATCCAACATGATATGAGTACCAGCTATTTTATAAAAATTTCTCTCACTTAATTTTACCTATGTTAATTCTCATCGATACCCTAATAATTTCAGCTTATCTATAAATATTTGTGTATTAGGATTAGAATACTCATTTTAAATTATACAAATACTACTGACATACTTATTTCATACAGTCATTAACTGATAGTCTGTATTATTTTTCATTTTATTTAATTCAGTATCGGGTCTACGGATTAATTCCAGTCAATTTGTTTGTTATCATAATTATCGAACTTAATGTAAAATTTGTTTCTGAATGCTTTGTTTGTGAAAATCCCTCCATGTACATAATATATTGATAATTTGTCCTTATTGATCCCTTCAGTTGTACAATTTGTTAATCTGTTCGATTCCATTTTGAGATGATGATATTTGTATTTTTATTAGGGTTTCTATTTCTTTTTTGCCTTTACTGAGTTTCTATGTTTCTTTCTGAACTGCATTTATACTGTTTAAGCTGATAATTAGTCATGGCGACAGCCATATTGATTTGTTCCTCTTTTGATTGTGTCGCTTGTACTGACTGGAATTGTGCATTTTGATTGTGAATTGAAGCACTCTTCCAGAATAGGAAACACTCTGTGTTATAAAGCAACCAAATATTAACTCTGGAACGAATCTAATCCATCCAGGAGGGACAGAATATCATTTATTTGAATAATTGAACAATTGTTGGTGGAACAACTGAGTGGTAATATTTGTTTAGGTAATGATGTATATTTATATTTATGATGAATATTAGAATCGTTATTTACCCAATCACTTGTTTTGATTTCGACTGGGCAATAGCGCGTATCTAACCTACCTAGACAGTTATTCCTCAGTCCAAACCTCAGTTTGAATCCTACACCTAATATTAAATTATTACTAAAGACTATCTATCCACTTCTCAAACATCCATTTTGTATGTTTGAGTTAAATATCATTTATTTTTTTAAAAAAAAATTACTATTTTCTTCTGTTGTTGATCTTAGATATTCATATTTCTTAATATCTTCTCTAGTTAATTGTTCATTATACTAACCTTAAAACACAAGAGTCATGAGAATCATTGAAAAACTTTATTGTACGTCTAAATCATATTTCTAAACATTTTTCACATAACTGATCTGCCGAGATTTTTACAGTTTTAAAAGATTAGATTAATCATGAACCGACTGTTAGATGAATAAATAATGAAAATTAAAATGTATTAAACAGTTTATCTGTTCGAGTTTAAGGACTGTTTGAGGAATGAGCAACGAAAATATCCTAATAAATTCAGTAAGTGATTTTTTGTATTTTAATGTATTAAGTAAATAAGCTATAAATATTCTCGAAGTTCTAGTGAGAAGACGTGACCAGTAGAGTTCAACCTTGTAGGGTGTAGGCAATAACTACCAAAGACAGATGGGTGTGGTCGCGTAAAAATCTGTAGATTGGTCAGAGTTAGACCGGTTCAGTGGTCCAGAGGTTAGGCGTTCACGCACAATACTGAAGCTCCCGGGTTCGAATCCTGCGAGAA